TTTGCCTGAAATTTAATGCCAAATCACTGGAGTCATACTTTCCCGAGTCACGTGAGCTGTCACACGAGATTTGTGCAATTAGGAGCCGTAAAAGGCAAAACCGCTTTTATTAAACTCTCCTTCCGTTGATACACGTGATTGTGACTACTTAAATTTCAAACTAAGATTTCCACCGAAAGAAGAAACATCACTCTAAGAAATTACTACTACTACTTTGTAAAATGAGATATAAAAGTCCCACTAATTTTAGTAAAAATTTCTTTGGTCACCGACGACCGCCGAGGGCCAGCTATGTAGGAAAACGACGCGCGTGGGACCAAGCAGACACGTGGCCACGTCACGCATACCATTTCACAGATGGAATTATTCTAACAGTCGTTGAGGTCCTAACCTACACACACGCATAAGTTTGTAGTACAGCCTCTGCAGAGTGACCCCAACACCAGGGTCCTTTCACAAATTTTGACGTTTATTAAAAGCAGCCTTTTATATTTCTCAAAAAAAGAAAAAAAAAAAGAGCAGCCTTTTGTAAGAAAAAAATCATAATTATAATAATTATAATATTACATAATATTATATATCGATGATATTTATTATTATATAATTATATATATTTTTTTAAATTTATTATATTATATTATATTTATTTAATATTAAATTAAATTATAAATTTATAAATTTACAGGATACTAATGCTCTTCCAATGTTATTGTTGGAGTTCTCTGGACCTTGAGGGTGCAATTAAAATATTAAGATTGAAAAAATAAAGTGTGTGCAATATATTTATTAAAAATTATTATTTTTGATATAAAATTAAATATAGATAATTTTAAATATATATACATATAATATGTAAAAATTTATTGAATTAGTTGTATTTATATTATATTTTAATAGACAAACTAAATAAATATAGAGAAATATGTTGAATTGAAAAATATACTAATTATTTTACAAACAATGAATGTTAAAATAAAAAATTAATTGACAAATTAAAATAATTTACATGATAACCTTAATTTTTATATTTTTATATAGTGTTAAAATTGTGTACTACTAATTGTACTCCTAATGTGTGTGGTTGTACCAAAGGCTTCTCATGGTAAAATCCTTACCTACTAACAAAAATTTGTTCAAATTTCGTATCCATTAATATAAAAACTTTAATTTGGTATTAAAATTAAAAATTAAGAGTTCTATTATATCAAACAGTTAATTCTTTTTTATGTATTAAAAAAAATTAATACCCTTGCCACCATATCTTTAAATTCCAAATGTGAAAATATGGAGGATGGGCATGCTTGTTGTCACACAAATATATATTATTGTTGTAGAAAATTTTGGCTCTTTATAGTTTAACTGTTATAAATAGTAATTGATAAATCAACGATCTAAATAATTTAATAGTAATTTTTTTATTATAAGTAAAAGATTTTAAATTTGAATCATATGACATGCAGATGAGATGAAATAAAAGATGAGAGAGACTTATTTTTATTGTGTAACCTAAAATCAAAATAAATAATTGATAATAACAATTGATATGAGAATAGAGTATATGAATCTTCATTATTATTAAAAAAAATTAGTCTCAATTTAAAAAATAGTTCCTCTAATAAATTTTAAAAAAAATCTTACATGTCAATTTTTAAATTAATCTAATATTTATAATTATTTGATTAAGAAATTTATATTTTTAATGGTATTAAATTTTGTATAAACAATGAATTAGTTACAACTAAATATATTTAATTAATCTAAAATTGAAATGAAAATTTTATATAAATAGAATATTAATTTAATAGTTGATTTTTAAAAATATTTATTAAAGCGTAGTTTGCAAAATTAAAATCCTAATTTTTTTATATATATATATATGAGTATGAACTGATATACACTATTCTTAGTATTATTTAACATATTAAAATTAAATTACAAATTAATATTTCTGCATACCATAAACATATGTTTAAAAAATATATGTAAAATAATAAAATTAATCAAACTAAATGTATCTATTATTATTTATGTGACAATAACAAATAATATGCAGTTTATAC